ATCACCGCCCGGCTTTGAGTCTGATCGCTGATGAACAACGCAATCTCATTTCCGATATCCCCATATCTCCATATCTCCATATCGTAGAAATGTGTGGTTGATCACTGTTAGCGAAGTTCCTTGAGAGCTTCGGAGAGGGGTATGGAGCCGGTCAATTTGTGTGTAAGTTGTTCATATGTATATATATATACGTCGATCCATTTTTGTGTTCTCGTGAACCCAAACGCCAGATCATCATGACCTAGGTAAAGGCCTGTAATGTCTATTTCTATTCCATTGGGCCGTCCTTTCCGACGTCTAATCCGTGCATCCGTCCATTTCATCAATAAAACGTGTAGCCATAAAAGCAGCCCCATCTCCTTTCTCCAATGCCGTATTGGTCAATAATTATATAAACAACCCTGTCAACCTTGAAATGCATCCGAGGTCTCGTCTCGTTGCGGCTGGCCAATCAGTGAACTCTGTCAATTGGCCAGTGGTCCCCTGCTCTCACCCTCGATGTGTATCTCGGCCACCTCGTCAGAGTCTCTATCGCTGCCGGTTTTAGCGGGCACGGATATGATGTCCTTACGGTTCCATGAGGTCTGAGCGCTGCCGTCCGCTGCGGATGGTTGCTCTTGGCTGTCCAACTCCGCAGTCACCGAGGCCATTTCGACATCCTGGTCATCGAAATTTTGAGGTCCCATGCGTTCATCGTCTGACCCATGCTGAACATCGTCGCTGCCGATATCAGCACCTGTAGATCCTTCCCGGCCATTACCGGAAATGCCACTGAAGCTCCATCCTTGGATTATTGGGTTTGATTGGGCGGGATCACTGTCCGTCATGTCAACGCCCTCATCTTCAATGCTCGGGTGGAGCGAACTCTTGGCGACGACCTCTCCATATCCAGGAAGCTGTTCATCGTCGTCATCGTCCATGGGCTCTAGAGATGTGATAGCCGATGTGGCTGAGGCTTGGTCAGCCCTGGGTCGAATAGCTGTCGTTTTAATCCCAGTATTTACCGTGCCGTTGCGGGAAACCCCGTTATCAGACTGATCATCTTCTCCAATCTCAGTGTCCGAGTCGTCGTCTTGATTTGGTTTATCAAAAGATTCGAATATGGGCTGGAACCGTGGGCCTCCCAAAGGCTTGCTTGACCGACGGCGATAGAAGAGGAGGTATGCCGCACTCGTCACAACCGACGAGGGGTCTGACACCTGACTTACGGACGAATCTAGGGGTCTGGTCAGTACAGAGGTCTTCGCCAGGCCAACATTGCTGCATTCATCATCGTCTCACTTACCATTGTAGTTGTACCAGCGCCCATCCATAAAGTTCTTTGCGTATGCCGTGTAGTGGCCCCCTCCAAGGCCTCCGTAATGGTCATCGACACCAATCAAGTCGTAGATTTCATTCTGACCATCTGTCTGTTCTATAACACGAGATGTCAGATCGAGGCCATCGATGGGAAAGTCCACCAAAACGTCCAGCTTGTCGCGACGATAGCCCGAGCTGCTGAAGCGCTTGAGATGAGCGACAAGGATATCCGGAGTTTTCCAGAGATCAAACTTCTTGCTAGCTCGCCTGTGCTCCTTGCACCGAGGACAGTACCACATGTCTTGTTCGGAGAGAACCTCAGCCCTTTCAAACTCGTCCAGGCATTCCTCAAGCGTGATGCCACGGGAACGGCGGTTGTTGCGCCTCCGCTGTGAAATCTTAAGGGCCGGATCATTAAGAGTTTCGGGATCTACATAGGTCTTTCCCCCCTTGCCTTGGTCGAGTTCGCCGTAACCAAAGACTGTGCCCCAGGCATCCTCGCTCCAGTCTACGACGAGACCTTCTCCGAGTCTGATCAATGGGCCGCCATCGGCAACGGTTGGGGGCATGGGCTGTGGCTTGACAGTGGCAGCGGCTCGTGCGGCCTTTGCTGCTTGTCTCTCTCTGCGCTTATTCCCTTTCTTTCCATATGTCTTGTGATCCTTGAACTTCTTCTTGCCACCACCCTTCTGGTGGGCACGCTTTGAAAACTGTAAATATCATCAGTAAAGTGTTAAACAATATAATTAAGATCCAGGTTTAAACCTACTCGGGGCTTGTCGTCTTCCTCGTCAGTCTGTTCATCCATCATGCGCGTCTGGTTAGATTCGGCCTTCGGGGCCTCGTCGTTGCTACTTTCTTCGTTTCCAGAAGGTGTGCTGGCCCAGCTACCAGGGCTGGGCTGGTCGGCTCCCTCACTGTCCTGGGGAATGCGGTCGGCAATCTTCGGCAAGGTGCGGTTGCTGTCGACATGGCCCCATCCTGTGGGAACAGCGCCATCACTTCCATCAACGAAGTAGCTGAGCTCAAAAAGATTCTGAAGCTCCGGGTCGAGGAAGCTTTGAAGGTTGGTGACGTAGGAGGGCCTCTTGTTGCTGAATTGCTTCAGAATCTTTGACTGCTCCAGCGGATGGTTAGACTGAGCCGCGATAGTTTTGGTATCCGAGGTCATTGTGACATCCACCATATCCTCCTCGCCTTCAACTGACCGCGCTGCAACCTTACCATCGCCAGAGGAGTCGACGTCTGAGGGGACCACGACGCCATCCGAATCGGCATTATTGGTGTCGTCTGCGTCGTCATCGTCCAAGAGTACCGGCCACGTGGAGAATGTTGCAACCTTCTCGAGTACTTTACGCTGAATAATATCATAGCTCGAGGCTTCCTCACGTGTCAAGACGATGAAGTGAGGGGGAGGATTTGTACCATCCCCTATTACATTAGGCCGACGATGAAACACAGGAACCACCATTGTTTCGTACCTAGGATCATCCCATTCACTGGCATCAATTGGTGAATCGATGTCGAGCATGGATCTGTACTTCTTGGTCCTCATTTTAACAGGCCAGTTAGTCGGAACAGCTTCGATCTCATGGATAGTTGGCAGGTCTGTTGACTGAATCTCTGCCGACACATCCTGTTGATCTTCGTAGATTTTGAAGAAACGTTCTTTAAATTCCTCGGCGCCCATTAACCTGCTGACCGGGACACCAGTACGGGTAGAGATGAATTGCTTCAGGGCCTCGACAGCGCTGTGCTTTGGCAGTTCAACATCAATCTTCACGGGGGCCTCGTTCAGCGGAAAGAACTTAACAGTCCGATGCCACAGGTCCTCAACCGGGAGGGGAAGAGTCAGGTTGTTGAAAGGGTCAAACGTGATGCTTATCTTACCACACTCGGGGCATTTCAGGGTCGATTTATACATCCCAGTGAACAGGTCGGCAATAACCGAGTCGTCTCGCTTCCTGGTGATATCCCAAACCTCTTCAGCCATCTTACGGATTGCTTCAGGGTCATTGATCATCTCGTCAGTGGAATCGGGTTTCTCAATGTAGGGCTTCTTCTTGATGCGACTGAGATCTTCTTGAAGCGCGTCTAGAAGGAAGCCGAGGAATTCCTGGGAATCCTGCTGGCCCCATCCTTGAAATGTGCTGCGGCAGCGTCCTACTGTAGTCTTGAAGTCTCGAGGGCTTACCGAGCCCCTGCCTTCCTCGTAAACCTCCTTCAGCAAGTTCACGTAGGCCAATGCAACTCGTCCATTATAACCGAGAGGATTCGTCTTATTGATCTCCTCTGTGTAGGAATCAGTGAGGAAATACTTGGTCAGCTCCTCAACGCTGCGGACGCACTGCAATGCCGAGTTCATGTAGCAGGTATTTCCTAGATTGTGAAATCCCACAGCGCCCAGGCTTCTTCCTGGTTTTGTGCGTAGAGCCCGCCCACGACCCGCCCCTTGCGGAGCGGGACTGTTGCGTCCGCTATTGTTCTTGGATGAGAGTCCAGAGGCGTTAGCCCTAGCAGGGCCAGACTTGGCCCCCTTACGACCGGTGTACGTGCTGACCCAAGCGTTCTCAATGGCTTCATCGAGCACAAGAGTCTGATCCGTCACCAGGTTCCAGTGCTGTAGGGTAGAGCTGCCATTATAATTGCCATTTGTTGTGGTATCCGCGAGTTCAACTTTGATCCTCTGATCTCGAACTTGCGAAAATGAGGGGTTGTCAAGTAGGAGATACGGCCATGTGTTTTGAGGATTGGCGGCATCTTTTCTCCCTGGTGAATCCGGCGGTGTTGGAGCCGAATTGCGCTGAACAGGTTCGCAGGCTGGGAGTGTCTGTGGCACTGAGAACAACCGAACTTTGCGTTCTAGTGGGATGCCCGCCAATGTCTTGACATCCTTTAGGAAGGCATGAGCTGGAGAGTTGCAGCTTCGAACGAGTGTCAGAGGAGGAGGGTTTCTTGCTTTCAAAGTTTGCTCAATTGGCAATGGGCTGACTTCAGACCACAGACGATGAACGCGGAAAATTGGCGGATGAAACTCATACATCACGTTGGAATCTGACATGGGGTCAGGTGCAGCGTCGATAGCGAAACGAACGATGGGCTGTTGTCCATCTCGCATGCCATACCACTCTACTATCAAGACCCATGCGTCCTCGGGGAAGAGCTCGAAAGATTCCAGACTGGAGCCGGGTTTCAGGCGAACGTAGTCCTTTCCAGAAGAGTCTTTGATAACTTCTTCAATGATGTCGCTGTTGTCCACGGGGCCTAGAGGATCGGAATTACCATCGCTATTGCCATCGCCTTTCTGGCGCGAAGAATCCCCACGCAGAGCAAGTGCTTTGTCAACCCAAGTTCGAGAGACGAGGTATGCCTTGTCCCCTTCCTTCAGTGGGGTCTCCTTGGAGGCATTCAGCAGTGTTTCGATTGTTTTGATCTGCTCACTGATGGATGGAGGGCCTGATGCAATAGAGTCAGTCACAGTTTTGCCCCAAGAATATTCTTTTTTGATATTATAGGACTTACTGGTGGTGGCCCCGGATGCAGGGACGTCTGGGGGGTCGATGCTCATGGCGCGGGGCAAGCCTCCACCGGTCTGCTGCTCCCCGTTCTGGTTGTTCTGTTCTGCTTCTGGGTCCATGCTCGAGGCTCGGCGCTTGAGAGGTGACGATGAACGCTGGGGGAGGTCGGCATCACCATTCATAATGGCCCTTTTGGATATGACCAAGGGAGAGCTGCACCTTGGCTTGGCGGGGTGCGCTGACCCGGACTCGTCTTCGGCGTCTAGAGCTGAGTCGGCACAGACAGAGGCGGACGGGGAGGACGCTGTCGAGGAGGCGTACTCTGCCGAGACAAGCGAGCTCCCACTGGGCTGGAGCCTGGGGGGGACGCTCGATACCGGGAGAGAATCTGCGGGTAGGTAGGATGGGGTGTTGGGCCCGGAGGCGGAGAAGGAGAAAGCTGGGTCGTCGTCGGGTTCGCAGGAGAGCAGGCGGCCAGAGTCGGAAGAGGGCGAATCAGAAGAGTTTCGGTCCTCTTGCGTCGAGGGCTGGGACGAAATCTTTCTCTTCTTTGAGGAAGCCGTCTTGAAGGTGAGCTGCGGCGGGCAGCTCAAGGCGATATGGGAGACGGGCGTCGACAAGGAAGAAAATCGTCTTGGTAGGTCTGCAGACCAGAATAAAGCTATTGTTGCATCAGTCCAGTCGGAATCTGGCGTTCCGGAGACTCAGATTGGAGGATCTGAAGAGTCGAACCAAGCGGAAACAGAAGACTGGGCAATGGGGATCCAGGCAAGAAATGTGCTAGACTGCAAAATATGGCTGAGCAGGGCTGTGGAGGTGGGCGCTGGTCTTTGTTGCAAAGGGCGGCAAGATGTTTGGCAAGGTACACTGTGGGTCTTGCACCTGCGGCTATCTACCTCCAAGGTACAAGCCATGTCAGAGTCTGGGTGGGAGACGGTGAGCGAGGAGTCGGGTACTACCTACCGCTGCTGCTGTTAGTGAGTCCGCTACGGCCGGTCGAGTCGAGCAGCTGTAATAAATCACAACTCACGAGGCGAGACGATGCTAGTCAGCGCTAGACAAAATTTATTCTTTTATCTGATGTTTGGCCAGTAAACCGACTCGCAAAGGGTACATGGGTACCACATTGTTTCCGCAACAAGAGCCCGCACGCCTTTGTGGTTAAGAAAAAAACAAAAACAAAAAAAAAACAGAATAAGACAGACGCTTAGATTGGACATAGTACCCCCTACCACCAAGACGGTGAAGAAAAAAGAAACGAAAGACAAAAGAGCCACTTGTTGCCACACATGTCTTGGAGTCAATGTGATGAACTTGTTCCCCCCCTATTTTCTTGATGCTTCGCTACCCAAAACGATGACTGTGTCGGTTACAGAAATCCAAAGTTTTCGGAGCTTTGCCATTAACTACCTGGTACTACCTACCTATGGCAAATCCTGGTCATTGCTTGAGGGAGGCGTCTAAAACTAGGACCAACGGCCAGTAAAGGGCAAGAACAGCCGAAAGAATGATGCCTGCTAGGCGGGATCGGTGCCAACCCCTCCTATGGCGTCCCACTATCCGATGAAGGCAAACGCCCATAAGAATAAGAACTGGACACAACCCTGCCCAGTCCAGCCCCCCAATTGTAATCAACCGCTGGCACGAATGATTTTTACATCTGTGCTACTATCAATCTGTTCTAGAGCTACGATGCATACCCGCGATAATAATCGATCTACGGATATTTACGAGTTAAAAAAAAAATTAGCGATTAGCAATGACGTACTGTGTGGGCGGGCCCTAGGCACCTGCCTTAATTATGTACCTTACTCCCCCAGAGGTACCAATATATACATCGGCGCCCCCAGAAACTGCTAACCTGCACCTCCCTTCCGTGCCTTCGGCCGTAGGGACCAGTGCCCTTGGCGGGGTCTTGATTTCCTTGAGTAGGTAGGTAGCCATATTGAATTCCATGACAATTGAATTAGGATTCAGTGTAAGCCATTCTGGATCCAAAGAATCCTTCTAGTCTCATGCATAGGTCTATCTAATACTACTCGTATAAGTCTATCTCCATTGTCGCATCCCGACACTTCTCCAGCCCAAGAACCTGCCATTAGAGAGCCCTTTTTGATACGACATAACGCCACCACTCTCAAAAAAAACATCATCTTCAACTTCGCCTAACCGAGCAATTTATAGCTTTGAGTCTCTATCCTCATATTCACTAAAATCCTTGACCGAACGTGCTCCTAAACTGGCGAGCAGACCAGACTTGAAAGCACGAACATCGGTGATCTCGACCGCTGAGCTCACAGCAGTAGAACCATTGGCAATATCTCCAGTTTCAGTACCAGAGACGGCTCGCTTCAGCCCACACTCACGGGCTTCGGAAATGATTGATGATACTTGGTCTGCTGAAAGGCCAAGATCCTTGGTCAAGTACTTTTCAAGGAGATCAATGCATTGCCGCTGTTCTTCTGGAACGTCATTGAACCCAGCTTGTTGGAGAAGGGCAATGATTTTGGTATCAAGCTCGCTCGCGCCACGTGCATGCAGGTGAACCGAGATTCGGGCCCTGGTTGGTGAAGATGGGCTTATATAAGTCTTGTAGAACTCCAAGATCTGGGCTTTGGTAAGTGCTTTCACATGGGCGGCGTCGTTTTGAGCTGCAGGGTTGATTAGTTAGCGACAGTGTCAAAAAATCCCAAGAACCAAATGTGAATGTTAGTAGCTTACCTTGTTCGAAATCATAGTACTCTCCTGAGATGTGGCTCCAGTGCCTGGTTGACTCCTGGTCCAGGTTTCTCAGCTTCTCCAGGCGTTTGATAATGAGACTGCGCTTGTGACCCTCAAACTCAACCTCTGTCATCTTCTCCAGGACGTCCCCAATCTGCACCAGGAAAGCTTCGATTCGAGAGTCGAGGTAGTCGGGGGTTCTCTCGCTCTGAATTAATAGACGAATTCCACAGGTTGTGGCAAAGTTGCGCATTCCAGCAAATACAACATACCCCAGCTGCTCCTTGGTTCTGAGCTGATCAAAAGCCGGCTCATGGGCGATCTGGTCAAACAATAGGGTGGTAGCTCTGGCCAACCGATCGGCCTTGTCGCCAACATAAAGCAGTGTCTCCACACAATGGTTGACATTATCGGGATCTTTCAACGTCTTGTTGAAAATGAAGTTTGAGCCTCTAGGGATGATCAAAGACCTTACGATGGGGATCTGATCGCGAGGGAGCGCTCGGGGCTTGAAGGTGTTTTCGATGATCTCTGTCACCTTCAATGCATCCTCGCGGTGCATGTTTCCATGTGTGTAAGTCTCGAGGAAAAACTGAGCCAACACCTGTTTCTGGAACAGCCGAACGCTCTCAGAAGTGATGGAAGGTAATTCTGCGGCCAGCTCCTCGACCAGGAAAGCGCGCTCCGAATTTAAGCAGTTTAGGAAATCGCCAACCTGGTGATAGGCTGAATTTAGCTCCCAATTGCTGAAGCCCCGGATAAGCCGCTCCTTGACAACCTCAAACCGTTCATCCTGAATCTCAAGATCCTTCATTGTTGTGGTGACTTGCTGGAGTAAAACGGCAAGCTTATCATTGTATCCAGAGATATCGAGGAGAAGGCCTCTCCCGCCCAGGCTAACAGTATATTGCAGACCTGCGAGATCGGCATCGTAGGCGTACTGCTCTAACGCGTCCCGTACCAGTTCGGTAAACAGCCTTGCTTTGACCACGTTCTCGGCTGATGCGTAAATGATTGGGCTCCTTAGGCTGACGTATACATTTGCCTTGGGCACCCAGAACGTATCATCCTTTTTCCACCACGTCCTGGCAAGGCTATCGTTGCGAAGCAACTTGGGCGCTATGGCAGGCTGTAGAACATCCTTCTTCTCAACCTCAAGTTCCTTGGGGATGAAGTTATTCTTGTGTGGCAGGTGAAGCTCCGGGTAGCGATCTTCAGGAGGAGTTGTGAAGGCAGTCTCAAAAGACTTCAAAAGATCCTCCGGTAGCTTCTCGTATCTATACTCGGTCCCATACCACTTCTCCTTCTGATCCCAGTTTCCAGGGAACTTTTGAGAGACGATGGTCATTCTCAAGTTGTCGGGGCGGAGGGTAGCCAATGCCTTTAGGATAGATTTCGGATCAAACGACCTCAATCTGCTGCTTCCACTCAAAAGCCATTCACGAGGAATAGGCTTCTGCATCACTGATGCAGTTCTGCTCGTGAAGCGGCTGGCTGGAACTTTTTGCTTGAACCTGAAATCGACATCGGCCATGCCCTTCTGCTCATCAAATATCCACTCCTTGGGCGACGATTCTCGCAGCATCGAGATGTACTGGAAAATAATCTTCACAATTTCTGGATATTGTTTTAGGCCCTACAATGCATTAGTATAAGGCAGCGTGAGAGTGGTCATTGTCATTAGCGTGAACATACCTCCTCAGTCAATCGGATAGAAATATCAAAGAAACCAGGTGTGCCTGGGCAGACAGGATATGCACCGGCGGACAGGCTGTTTGCCCAGCCTTTTGATTTCACGTAGGCCATAATACTTCCAGGCCCCTCATGGCCAATGAGATGGCTTAGGTATCTGCTGGGCTGGGACTCATAAAGGAGCTCCTCGTCGATGAATGGGAAAACCAGGTTCAGCTCACGAGAGTCCATGACTGGTTTGGCAAAACACTGCATGCCGAGATCTTGCTCTTGGAAAGGAACCTCTGTATCCCACCGTTGCTGGGGAAGTTCTTTGTTGACCACTCCCGAGAAGAATTCCTCCGCCCACTTCTGAAGCACGTCAAGCGACTCACGCCCCAACACTACCAACTTCATCAGGTTGGCAGAGTAGTGCTGACTGTGAAACTCGATGAACTTGTCACGCACATTAATCCCTTTGGCTTCCGGCTCTGTCTTGAGAACCTCGAAGTTTCCTGTCGAAAAATGGCAGTACGGATGCCTGGGATTTGATAGTGACTTGTCCAGCTGGTGAAGTCGCCAGGTATCATTCTGTAGATTCTTCTTGTTCTCAGAGTCAACAGCCTTGAGCTCTCGGTCAAGAGTGCTCGAGAGAAAGAGAGGCTCAATAAAGAACTGGGCAAAACGGTCCAAAGCGCCGCGGAGGGGTGATGGATTTTCCTCTGTTGGCTCTCTGTCATCAGCAGGTTTGGCAGCTACTTCAAAGTAGTAATTAGTGGACGTCGAGGCGGTATATGCGTTAGAATTGCCCGAGTTTGATGACAAGTATTGGCTGTAGTCATTCTCTACAGGGAATTTCTTGGTGCCCATGAAGAGAAGCTTGATTATGCGCCGATTAGCTAAAGGGCGACGCTGGCTGAGGAAGAAGGGCGATTCTTGAGGCAACTTACATGTTCAACTGCATGGGCCATGCCCGGCATACCCTCCTCGTCACTGAAGTTTCCGACATTGACGTCGAGGGCGGCACTGGCCTTGTCCGTCTCCGGATCATGAACTAATAGAACCTCGAGCTGGTTTGCGAGACGGACCACGCGATAGTTGCGATCATCCACTGACGGCTTCTCCAGGTTGTCGGTGAGCAACACCGCATGTGACGGCCTGGGCGCCGAAGCCGGGGGATCGGAAGGAGGCATGGCTTGCCAATTGTTCTATAGGCGATGGAATTGGCAAGGAGAGATGGGCGGAGAGGAGGAACAGGAGGGGGGAGATATAGGCGAGTGAAGACAAAGAGGTGGCAGATATGGACGAAACGAGTTTCAGATATGAGTTGGTGGGATAAACCGTGTCCGTCGGACTCGTTGGCTGCACGATATTGGTGTCGCCTCCCCTGGCAGTATAAAGACGAAGAAGGGATCCACCCGCACTAGGTCTTAGATGCTAGTCCCGAATCCAATCCGATGCTTGTGTGTTGCCCCCTGTGCGCGTGCTTGTGTTGATCTTTGTGCGGTGTGGGATGTACTGTGGGGGTGTTTGTTCTGTCGCCAGAGTCTCGGATCTCTGTGCTGGAGGAAGTGCAGTGGGCTCCACGCGGAACCTTGATGGATGTCGAGGCGAGGTTGCAGGAGCCTCCACTGAAATAGGTATCGACGGTTGAGGCTTCGACGTAGGTAATCAACGGAATTGTTGGGGTTGGAGGAACGCTTAGCTTCGACCATTGGGCCCTAATAAACTGTCTACTGGCTTGAGATTCTTCTCTCTTTTCACTATTGCGGACCGAGGTGGCCGGAATGGCATGTGGCCTCCTAATTGGCTTTCATTACGTCGCGACGTGAAATGAATCAGTTTTTCTTATTTCATTTTTTTTTCGCCTCAAGCAGAATTTTCACGAAATTCACTGAGGTAAGATAAGGCAGTGCATACTTACGTACTGCAGGTACCTACCTCTCGACGTAGCGAGTGCCGTTCTTACCGCCACCATCGTAAAACGGCCCAGGTGGGCAACGCTTCAAAGTCTAATACTGAGAGTGGCAGCCTCAAATCCACTAGCCGGCCATTACGGTTGCTTCCTTCATCTTTCTCTCCCTCTGTCTTTTGGAAAATTCCTCGCAACCAAAAAAAGAGGGTTGTCTCCCTCTTCTCTCCCTCCCGCCACCACATCTTTCTTTGCTTTTTCCCCCCTACATCACAGACGGCGGTTCCTGAGTACATGCACCTGCCGTGGCTTAGGTAGGTACGAGGTAGGGATATGCCTGCCTTAGGAGGTACATGCCAATTCCCTTCCCTGGCATTGAAGTTATTGTACCTGTGCTTTGCAACCCGAGAGCGTGCCAGGGGGTCTTGAATGGCGTTTGGATTGCGTACTATTCAGTTCCTCATGATAATCGGAACACGGAGGAATGCAAAGGTTACTTTTTATCAAGTGGAATGTCTCTATTTTTTCCTATGTAGGTACTATCCAGGCACAATACATCAACCTGCAGGTTCGTGCAGCAACGGAACAAGTAGTGGATAAGAGTAATGAGAGTACCTCCACTGTCTATCTGCCCTCCCTCTGTAGGTACTTTGCCATGAAGGCTGAATTTATGGACCTTGCTTACCCCTTGGCCATATTCCGCCACCTAATTGTACCTAATTGGGCACACTGATATCGTGCTTGTGGACCCTAGCACTTGGAGGTCGCGCGGGGATTCGACAATTGGTGTTGTCCTTGCATCATCCGACCCCAGATGTTGAAATCGCACGCTGATTGGAATGATGGTGTTCGCGACACTTGCTAGCATGATGACTGCCACGACTCGTGCGCTGGCTACTCTCGCAACCATGCTCCAACATAGCGAATGCAAGGGGCGCATCGTGCTCTTCTTTTTTTTTCTTTTTCTTCAACTAGGCCCGGTCGAACACCCCTCAGCCTCGTAATCAGGATTCTTCTCTACGTCATTGTTAGAACCACTCTTGGCAGCCATGCGTTTACGCTCTAATGTTTCACGATATTAATAATGAACGCTGATATACAGATTAGGGCAATAATCTTTCTCGCCTTGCTACATAGGTATCTATAAGCCGGCGAATTTCCACCTTGTCATTCATTACACATCGTGGCAACTTGTGCCACCGGCACACGAATATGAACCCGACTATGTTCCACTAGCCATTTTGATAGATCATGTCTTGAGTCACGGGGTGCCGAGCGCCACAGGCACTCGGATTCCGGCCCTGATCCTGGCCTTCTGGAAGCTCCCAATCAAGCCGGTGAGAGACAACAGCGTGTTCTCATTCTCCTGGGCGGTCTGCGAAAGCTCCAGCCCTTGGCTCCGCCCCCTTGCATGATCCGGATCTTTTGCCCTTTGGCTTTGCATGGATTAATTATCGAGGCTAGTCAATAGCTGGGTCAATGTTGGGTCACATGGTGTAACGATTGCACAACACACAGGGTGTTTCAGCTCCGTCTTCGGCCGTGTTCTGGACATGAGTTTAAGACGGTACGTTACTTCGCGTTGGTTTTGTAAGTGTGTCATTTATTGAATTATATAGGCTCGGCAACGGTATTTTTAACCTTCTTAGGCGAGGTCTCGAATTTGCGCGATACGATGAAACCGTGATGATTTGTACCATCCAGATGCGAACGAGACAGTCCTTATCTGCCCGATCGAGAGTGTATTAACTGGCTCCAGGCCGATAATATTGCTTGCAGTTTCTTGCACCTGCGCATCGAGCTTGTCCCCCATTGATAGTGGGGCACACTCCTCCAGCATCTACCGACTTTTGAAGAGTACTATCCAGACGCTAACAACGAACATTACGACCCTACCTTCGCGCTTCTAACGGGGCTGGGCGCCGAAGCGTATGGGTTGCCGTGCGATGTCAAAGGTTTGGATCATTATGAGATTGCTGGAGATGAGTCATACGACGTAATGAACAGAGAGCTTTGAAGCTTATGAGACGCACATGACCAGACAGGGCAGCTCAACTTCTTTTCTTCTGGCCCTTTGAGCTTGAATTTGGGCAATCGGAAGCTCTATGGCCGACTTGATGGCAGTTGTAGCATTTCAAGGCCTTATTGCGATTCGAGGCATCGCCGCCTGAAGATATGCCGCCTGATGATATGGAGGTTAGCTTACTGAGCTTGACCTCCTTCTTCTTCCGCTTGTCGCGGAACTCCTTGGCTTTCGAATTTTCCGGGTTATGTCTGGGGTTTGCTGCTGGGTCTTTCCGTTTGCGTGAGAGTGGGCTGTTGCCGTTTGCATGGCTCTTGGGTGAATCGTCTGAATCCTCGTCATTCGAAGAGTCGTCTTGTGAATCTTCTTCGCTATCTGATGTGTTTTTCTGGCTTTGTTTCTATAAGAGAGGTCAGTTCCTTACTCGTGGAAAGGTGAGGATGAAGCTGTTGCTGTTCGGCTTGACTTACATCAGCTGGAGCTTGCTTGTAGTTCTGTGTCGAAGTTCGCCCGCATTTGGGATCATCCTGTGACTCATCATCCGATGAATCAATATCGCCGTATCCAACGTAGACAACTTTGAGTGGCTGTGACTGCGGTTTACCAAGGGGTTTCTTATCCCAATTAGTATCCAAAACCCATCGAGTGTCAAGCCCGGAGTGTTTCTCTAATGCGGCCTGGCGCTTTGCTTCTCGTTCATCAATCGCCGCTTGTATAGAGGCTTTGTCGATATCCGCGATGAGTTTTGCTTGTGCTGCCGAACTATGGTCAAGCTTTCGTTTCTTCGCTGAATGGCTGTCGGCATCGGAGCCTGGTGTTGTCGGTGATGATGCTGTCGCAGCGGCTCTTTGCATGAATTTCATCGTCAAGAGCCTCGAAGAGACTCCCCTGGGAGTTTCTGGCGCCATGATGACTGTGTTGTGCCTTCTCAGCGACAATTGCGCACGTATGTTAGTTCTTCGCAGCTTCTTAGATTTGGGCTGCGGTCGGATTTCGTGACGGGCACTAAATTTTGTCGCGGCATTGAGCGCCGGAAAAACTAAAAGTCCGCACACATATGTCGCAGCGGGCCCTTGCTGCACCATCTTCAAGCCGTCCCGGATTGAGAGCCGGACGACCGCATCACAACTCCCACGCCCGACACGTACACACACTCGCAATGGCTTCTTCTCAATTGAAGGCCGTCGGATCCCTTGCTCGCGGGCTGCGCGTGTCCCGCAGGGCTTTCACCACCACCGCCCGCCAATTCGAGGCCGTGCCCGCGGCCGCAAAGACCATATCCCCAGCTGTCGCCGATGAGTCCAAGCCTGTCGAGATCAGCCAGGCGCCCAATAGACTGGGCATCTGGTCACGAAGCCAGAAGCCACGATCACAAGCCATGACCGGCCCCCGTTTCGAACAGACCGACTTTTCCGTCCAGGTGCGCGAAATCACGCCGAGGAGGAACAGATGGAGGATGAGCTAACACCTTGAATAGCCTCAACCTAAGGCTGCCATCGAATTGATCCACAAGGAGCCCGTACGATGGACGCACGATCGAATTGTTGCCTGCGATGGCGGCGGTGGTCCTTCCGGACACCCCAGGATCTTCATCAACACCGACAAGGCTGAGATCGCCTCCTGCAACTACTGCGGCATTCCTTACGTGCGTACTGCCGTTGATCTCGTCACCACGGAATGTACGTTTTGCTAATCAATGGATAGGCCAACGAGCACCACCGAAAGCACCTCGAGTCGCTACCTGAGACTGCCTACCCACTTGCATGAACGCCAATGAAATAGAAAGAGGAGCTGGATAGACAATGTTCATCGGAAGCCAGTGTATTGTTGGCTCGGCTAAAACCTGAATCAATTCCTTATATCGTTTAGATATCTGAGGAAGGAGTGTATATTTTTGCATCAATGAAAGCACTTTTCTGAAATCTGCCTGTGCATGCTACTCCCTGGTCGTCACCATGGTAAACTGAAGGGCGGCGCCTTAGAAAGCATATCGCTCTTTTACAGGGCGTCATGGTCAACGAGATTCCTGGTGTTGAGCATTCGGCAAATGCGCACTCGATTCAATTGTTGGAGTTGGATTGATACTGATATCATGGTATTGCTAATTGCTTGAACCTCATTTGCTTACCCAGAAGAGGCCGTTTTACCTCCAAAAATGCTCCAGATAGTACATTTCAGCAGCTGTAGACCCACATTACGACATCATTGCTCCGCGCGCAGTGAAGATGCCTCAACAATCCCACACAATCTCTGTCGGC